AAAACAATTGAGAAGGGGGACTGCATAAAATTAAAAAGCTTCTGTACAACAATCAACAGAGTGAATTGGGAACCTGTAGAATGGGAGAAAAATCTGCCGACTATTCATCTGACTGAGGATTAATGGCCAGAACTTATAAAAAACTCCGTACATTTAACAAAAATGGACAATTAATCTAATAAAAATTGGCAAATGATTTGAACACATACTTCTTTTGAAGAAGTATAAATGGTCAATGAGTATATGAAAAAATGCTTAATATCTTTAGCTAACAGGGAAATGCAAATCAAAACTTCACTGATATTGTATCTCACCCCAGTTGGAATAGCTTAGAAAACAAAAGAAAACAAAATAATAAATGGTGGCTACAATGTGGAGGAAAAGGAACCTTATACACTATTTGTGGAAATGTAAATTGGTACATCCACTATGGAAAATACTATGAAGGTTGCTAAAAAACTAAAAACAAAACTACCATATGATCCAGTTATTCCACTCCTGAGTATAATATCCAAAGGAAATGATGCCAACATTCAAAAGAGATATCCACATATCTATGTTTATTTCAACAGTATTCATAATAGCTAAGAAAAGGAATCAGCTCAGATCAAGTTAACAGATAAATGTATAACAAGGACTTAGAATCTCTACCTTTATTTTGTATTCATCTTCAGGTCCCTCCTTAGCTCTGCACTTATGTGCATGTTAATCATTTAAAAAGTTCATCTAAAAACTGGTGATACAATGTTTATTAGCCCTAAATTTACTAACCTATCTCATCCCACTCAAGACTGAGGCAACATTTGTAGCATCCTGTTTTAGATCCCTGGGGTGGCATATAGAAATTTTTAGTCCTACTCCTTCCAGGAACATCAGAATGAAGGGTACCTCACCCTATGATAGGACTATCTCCTAAGCAGGAACAGTCATTTCTCAGGAACTGAAATGCTCCTTTCCAGGATCACAGATCTGATAGATAAATATCTTAAATAGAAAGTATCCTGAGATACCACCCCAAGCCAGATCTGAAATGTTCATCAACTAGTCCACAATTTGACAAAGACTACTTAATTATGCCTACCTCTCACCCCTGCCCAATTCTTGCTCCATTTAAACTGACAGGGCTGAAATGCTGCATCTCACCTTGCCTTCCCATGGTCATAATGATTAAAGTTCTGTTCCTACTTTTATCATTACTTTTTCTTTTGGTTTTTGTGATGAGTGGCTGGACCTGGTTATTTGGGATCCCTAGAGGTAGGCATCTGGCCTAGGACTCTGATAAAAAGTAGATAAAGAAAATATAGTCTGTACATAGACATGAATTACTATTAAAAAATAATTTCATTTGGAGAAAAATTGATGGAACTGGAGAAAGTTATGTTAAGTGAAATAGGTGAGATACAGACAAATATCAGGTTTACTCTCATGTGTAGAACCAAAAGCAAAGTAACACAAAACAAAACAAAACACAAAACACTACCTGAATGTATAAAAGACTTAGGTGAAGGGAGGGTGAACACAATCAAGGAAGGATATATATATATATATATGTAAATGTCAGAGTGAAAACCATTCATTTGTACAATTAGTTTATGTTAATAATTATAATCAAAACAAGTATCAAAAGTTTTAGGTACTGAAAAATGTAATGAATAATTATTGATTAAAGTGTAGAAATCAGAATGGTTATAATTAAAATTATATAAAGACAATATCCATGTGTTACAACCAATAATTTTCCTTAATAATCTGTTTATCAGCCATATTCATTTTATCATATTTTAAACCAAATTTTTCTTTGCTTTTCAGACATGATGAGTCTGCAGTACATTTTAATTGCTCTAAAATATGAGGTATGTGTGATACTCTAATGTATAATAAGAAATATATTGGGCTGGGGATATAGCACAGTGGTAGAAGGTTTGTCTTCCATGCTTGAGCCCCTGAATTCCATTCCTTAGACCATAAAAATAAAAGAAAAGTAAATGAATATTTTATTTTCCAGGTACATGACTCCTTGGAATCTCTGAAATGGTATCTTTTTTGTATGGTAATAATATGGCTAGAAGCTCCTTGAGAATCTCAGGATAGGGGCTGGTTGCAAGGGTAACTAACTATCCATGTAAGAATAGGTTAGAAACTTTCAGCCTCTACTTCCTTTCTAGGAAAAGAAGAGGGCTGAAGGTTGAGTTGATCACCAGTGGCTAATGATTTAATCAATTATGCCTAACCTAGGAAGCTTCCATAAAACCCAAGAGGAAAAGGTTGGAAAGTTTCCAGACTGGTGAACATATCAATGTTTTGGTAAAGTGGCACACCCCAAGCTCTTGTCCTATGTATTTGTTCTTCTGGCTATCTGTATCGTTTATAAGAAACCAGTAAATGTAAATGTTTTTTTCAGTTCTTTGAGCCATTTTAGGAACTGATTGAACCTAAGGATACAGCTATGGGACATATCAATTTAAAGAAGTACTGGATACCTGGACAGCACTGCATCTGGTGTCTAAAGTATAGGGCATTCTTGTGATAGTGACAGAAATTAGTAGAATTATAAGACACTTGATACTGGAGAATCAGTTGGTGTGGGAAAAACACACATATCTGGTTACAGATGTATTCTTTGTTGAGTGAGTGTGAACAAGAGAAAAAACAGTTGTCTTTTTTTCTTTTAATCATAGTATGTGACTGCTTAATACTACTTTTAGAATAGACCAACCAAGAGAACACAGAAGGTAGGGGTTACTTGGGTTTCTTTCCCGGCTATGTGAACAAATAATTAACTCAAAAGAAAAAGTAAGTAATTTAAGAGGGAGAGAAAAATTCTTGGTCTCAAAATATTATTATTCATAAATGACTAATAACCCACTGGCCCACCAAATTTTGCCAATATGATCCAACCTACTAAGTTCTTGGCAAAATATTAGTTAGGGAATTTAGGTCCCTGTTGCAGATTTTTGGCTAACTTATTAGCAGTGCACAAAGTCCTACATTCAAACTTAGAGTTGTTTAGCTTCTAAAATGTTCATAATAAATGTAGTTTTATGTTTTTTTTTTCCCATAGGAACTTTGGTTTATTTGCAAAATTAATGAGTCTTCTGTAATGTAACTCTCCAACAACATTTGGCCTTTCAGGCTTTGCTAGAAAGTAAAAACCACAGAATAGTGTATAAAAATGATAAGATCTACGTATAAGCAAAAAGAAAATTAGGCCAGGCCTATGCTGAGTAATATTATGTAATTATCTCTCTCTGGTTTTCAAACTTTTAAAACTATAGTCTACAATAAAAACCACATTTTATGTCATCACCAAGTATGAACAGACATACATATTCCTAAAATTAAAAAATATCATAAAATAATACTTTTCTGTGATATACTTTCATATTTCCTAGGGTTCTCTTTTATTTTGTTAAATAAAAATTTCTATTAGCCACTAAATTAATTTCATGATTGACTAATGGGTAGTGACCCTCAGTTGCTCTATGAGAAAGCCAGGAGTACAGTTTCTAAAATACATAAATGTAGTCATCCCTACATCCCTACAGAGAATTATCTACTGATAATGCAGGATGGAATGTGGGGAGGGTTATAGCTTCACCACAGAATATAAACATGTTTAACATTAAAATTTGGGGCAGGGTTTCATGATTATATTGCCTAAATCAATTAAATTCTCACTTTCCAGTTTAGAAAATATATTTATGCCTGAAACACAGCATATGCTTGTAATATTTTTAAAAACTTTTCATAATATTAAAATGTAACATATGCTCAGTATAGTAAAATAAAATGTAATCACCCGGTTGGTGCATTTTTTGAAATGTGGATGGATTTAAATTGTTAGTTTTAACATAGAAGTTTCACTGATAATTCACTGGGGAGCTAAGTTTTTGGTTTTAGGTATGTTGGGTTTGCCTGAATTTACTGGGTTTGTGAAATGAAATGAATAGCTTCATTTTATTTTTCTGTATTCTGGAACATTTTACATAGTAGTGAAATAGAAGATAAAACTAGCTGATCCTAGAGCCTTTTTTTTGTACAAAGTATAGTATGTACATAAATTAAAAATAATTTGTTCAAGTCATCTTATATCCTTAATTATTTTCATTTTTTGACAGACAGTGGTATATTAAAGTATTTGACTATAACTGACAATCTTTCCTGGAATTTTTAAAGTAGTTTTTGTTTTATGAATGTTTCTATGCTGAAACTGCAATTGTGAGTTTTAACTGTGTATAATTAGCTAAAAAGTACACTCATTATTATGTATGACTATCAAATAACACGAGAATGGTCATATTATGAGCTTTTTTTTTTTAAATCCAAAAAAAGTAGGAACATAGCAGGTCTGCTTATATTTCTTCATGGGTAAGACTTGGAGACACTAAGAAGTGTATTAGTGTGTTAGGATCCCTTTTCTTATTTAGATAATATAAATGATTACCATGTATTTATTGTATTTTGGATCTAATCTTATGTCAAATGTACTTTCTTTGCTTAGTCTTTTCCTTTTTTGACTTAATTGTATTTCCCTTTATTATTTATCTGAATGTATAACTAGATTTTTTCTTCATACTCACAACTCAAAAAAACCTCTCAATATTTTCCAGCTTTTATTTCACATATTAAAATCTAGCATTAATTTAGATTATAGTATTAATTGGATTCTAATTTTTACTTCTTCTAAAATGAGCTTAATTTAAATAATTTACCATTTTACTCTTTAAAATAAGTCTAATTTCTTCAAATTTCTCTCTTAGTTCAACTGAAAAAAATAATAAGAAAGGACTTGGGTCTATCACAATGGTGATAAATGAAGAATTAAATGTTAATATTTTGCCTTGAGAATCTTTTTATAATTTAGTGGTATAAGCCTAAAGACTAAGTCTAATAAAAAAAAATATTAGGGGGTATGAAACCAATTTTTGTCATCAGTTTACCTTGCCAATATATTGAATGAAGGTGCTTCTATACATTATGGACATTATATCTGGCCTTACCTGAGCCATTTTTCAGATACCCATTTGCATCTACAGCTGTATACATGATATATGGTCCAGGCTGATTCACTCCAAAAGGCTGCAATAAGAAAAGAAATAGTTTTGAAATGTAAGTGAGTGATTTGAAATTTCATGCAAATCTATCGTGAACACAGTAAAAAATTCTTACATGTAATTCTTATATGGATAAGAGTTACTTAGCACTTCTATAATACTTCAAAATAAAACTTGGTTAGTAGAAAATTCTTAACTTTGTAAATGACTTGATAGTTACATTTATATAGTTCAAACTGAGTATTTACAATATTTAATATTGTTTTTCTTTATAAGGACAAATATTTTAAGCAAAATTTTATTCACTACTTTCGATTTTACCTAGAATAGAACTACAACAGTTTTGGGATGGATGTAGCTCAGTGGTTGAGTGCTTGCTTTGCATGCATGAGATCCTGGGTTCAACCCTTAGCACTACAAAAAAACTAAAACAAAAAAACCCCCAAATCAATAGTTTTATTATATAATATTTCTGTTGAATATAGCATTGCTTTATTTCCTACAGTGATGGGTAATGTATACATTCTCTAACTAAAATATCAAAGTAAATAAAATTCATCTATAATAATTACAGTTGATGAAAAAGTTTATCTTCAACTTGTATATTGCTTCTTATACTAGAATTATTTTTCAAACTTTGAATGAAAGATGATATATTTATTTTCTTTACAAATTAAACAGGACATAAAGAAACTAATGGCTGCAATGGATTTTCCTATAGAGATGACAAAAAGTTTAAGAAATGCTTTAAACTCTTGAATATTGTCACAAAAATGAAATTGTATTTATCTTTCCAATAAAGTAGGGGAAAGTTAATAACATTTAGATAGTCTATTGATGCTCTGAAAATGATTTTCCTCCAGGATAGGCAAGAAATAATTAATTTCATCAATACCACAATTGCCTGATTGATATTTTTAAGAACCTTAGACTTTCATGTGCTTCCAAAGGCCATGAGAAACTAGAGTGCTATAAGAATGGAATAATTACTCATCAGAATTTATTTATTTATTTAGTTAAGTTGAATAAAATATGTGAATAATATCACACAAATAAAGCATATACTTTGTATTAAGTACTGTTTCATGAAAGAGTTAATGAGATTCCATATACGTATATATTCTTATTTTGTAGACAGGAAAGGAAAAGCATTATCTTTTAATATCCAGTTTTGAAGCCAACCACAGATAGTTTTTTGTTTTTTAAGTATAGCAGAGATTGAATGCAGGGGTGTTTTATCACCAAACTACCTTCCCAGCCTTTTATTTTGAGACAACTTCTTAATAAGTCTCTGAGGGCCCCGCTAAGTTGCTGAGACTGGCCTTGAATTTGAAATCCTCCTGTCCCAGCTTCTTGAGTTACTGGGATTACAGGGTCAAATTACCATATCATTTAACCACAGATAGGTGAACAAAAGTTAAGGTAAGAAATTATCTTCTTCATGCAATTTTTCTTTTTCTTTATAGTTTTACATATGCAAATTCATTATGTGCTTTGAAAAGTACATTATTTTGAGACTCATTCATAATTAAGCATATAGCTGTAGTACATTTCTGGTGCTTTAGGATATTCCATCATATAACATGTTTTTCTTATTGTTGACAGTTTCCCATTGCTTTTGCAGTAATAAACATAGCATTCTTATATATGAATTGGTATTACCTCTATATTCCTATCAGCAGCATATAAGAGATATTACTGGTTTATGTACTTAACATTGTGAATGCAGTACATACTTCTTAAAATAAATTTTTCTTTGTATGTGTTTCTTTGGCATAGGGTATGACCTTTCATACTTTAAATCTGTCTTATTCCCGGGAGATCTGGAGATACTTATGAGGTCACACTGTCCACTGTGATAATGACTTCAAATTTAATTTGTTATAGTGTAGTGTAGACACTGGAACAGCTATCTTGGGTTATAAGAATTCTCAGTGAATATTTCCAATTATATTCTTGAATATTTGTACTAATTCACCTGGCATATTTCATATTACTATACGTAGTATCTTATTTTTACAGGTTATGTGGGCATTTTTCTCTTTCCCACCCATATTCAATTAAAAAATTAGGTCAGCACGTCTCTGAATTAGAGAGCAAAAGTTCACCACATCATGAGCTAATCATTCTGATATTGAAAGACAATTTCCAGAAATCCAGGTTCAATTCCTCTACACAGTGTTTCTAAAAGTATAGCATAAAAGCTCCTAGGGCTCCCGACACACTCAGAGCAGATCACATTAGGTAAAATCACATTTCTATTTTAATAGTAAATTTAAATAGTACTTCACTTTTGCTGAGGCTGGCTTTGAACTTTGTATTTTACACTGTGTCAACAACTATACTAATGACACAAAAGCAAAGGTGGTTAATTAGCAGTAGCACCAAAAATGGGTATTTAGACTTGGTTATTAGTCAATGCTTTTCTGAAAATGGAGAAATAGAGTCTGAAAGTATTTGTTGATCATAAAAAAATTTGAGCTTCCAAGTGAAAACTAGAATCTAGAAAATTGCTACTGTAATCTGACATCTTCCCAATATTTAAAAGCTTTTCTGATGTAATTAATGGTGGTGTTAATTCAAAATATTATACTATGAAATGTGTCAACATCAGAATGATCTGTGTAACTCAGTATTCCAAAATTTTCCAAATGAACAATGCATAATATTACAAAACCATGCATATGTAAAACCATTTGTAGTTGAAGTTGAACCAATAGTTTTTTTTTTTTTTTTGGTACAAGGATTGAACTCTGGGGCACTTGACCACTGAGCCACATTTCCAGCCCTATTTTGTATTTTATTGAGAGACAAGGTGTCAGTGAGTTGCTTAGTACTTCGCTTTTGCTGAGGCTGGCTTTGAATTTGCTATTCCCTTGCTTCAGCCTCCCCAGCTCCTGGGATTGCCAGGTATGGGCCGCAGCACTAGGCAAACCAATAGATTTTAATAAGCCAAGTTAGGTCTATCACTTCTGAAGTGGTATAGTAAGGACCTCCAAAACTCTGCTTCTTCATAAAAGCAATGAGAACTTTGGCAAAACATTGTCAAAATCACCTTTTCAAAACTTCGAAGAATCTAAGCAGCAGTTATTCAAGAAAAACAGCTGAATCTTGTGAATAGTGACCTTTGGTGTATATTAATTTGCCCGACTTCCATTACCCTTATGTTAACTCTAATGAAATATTAAAAACCTACAGCTTTGGGGGGCTAGGTTTGTGGCTCAGTGGTAGAGCACTTGCCTAGCTTATTGAGGCACTGGGTTCGATTTTCAGCACCACATATAAATAAATGAATAAAATAAAGGTCCATCAATGTCTACAATATTAAAAAAAAGAAAAATCTATAGCTTTGCAACTAAGGTAGCTATGAAAATGAATAGCCTTATAGTTACTGGAGGGGGCAGAATAAGGTTCAGAACTCCTAAAAGCCCCATTTCCACAGAATTCATTATTTGACTTATCCAGAAGCTCCCTGGAAATCTCCATTCTCAGGATTTGTCTCTGTTTAGGAGACTGAGAATTTGCTTGTATGAACAGCCCTATCACTGGAATGCTTGTTTAAAATAATCATCATCAGAGGTTTACGACTACAGCTATCTGAGGCAGTGATATCAACTGGGGTTAATGAGACGCTGACAAAACCTTAAAAGGAAAGATAGAAAGAAGATGTCAGTAGGGGGATTTGAGAAGCTTTCATATATTTCTGGGAAATCAGAAGGTCACATACATGAATAGTATTATGTTCATGCCCCTAAAGCCCTGAGAAGGTTCTCATGTATCATTTAAGGCACTATCTGATCATCCAAGATGACCATTAAGCTGAGGGGGGAAACTTTAGTAGCCACATGCATAAGGAGTAGAGGCTTTATAGAATTTATCCAGGTGAATCATATGACAACAAGCAATAAAAAAAACTCAGGGTAGGTAGGGAATATCTGATATCCAGAGTTGATACATATTTTAAAATTCACATTTTCAACAATAACAAGAAAGTATGGCTCATATACTGGGGACGGGGGATAGTCAATAGAAACTGCCCCCAAGGAAGCTTAGGTGGCTGATTTACCAAAGATTTTAAATCAGCTCTAATAAATATATCCAAAGAACTAAAGGATATCATGATGAAAGAACTTACGGAAATCATAGAAAACAGTGTCTCACCAAAAAAGAATATGAATAAAGAGGCAGAAATCACAAAACAGAACCAAAACTAATTTCTGGAGTACAATGACTGAAATGAAAAATTCAGTACATTGGCCCAGTAGATTTAAATTGGCAGAAAAAATAATTGAAGATATGTCAATTCAGAAAATGAAGAGAGCTACAGAGACCTATGGGGTACCATTAAGAATATTAACTATAATAGGAGTTCTAGAAAGAGAGTAGAGAAGGGGAGAAACAATATATGAAGCAATAATGGCCGAGACTGCCCAAATTTAATGTTAACATTCACATGTAAAAATCCCAGTGACTACCCGGTAGGATGAACCATAGAGATAATACAGCATAATATATTACAGACAAATACTAACAATCATATCATAGTAAAAAAAAAAAATTTTTTTTTTTTTTTTTTTTTTTGTGGTCATGGGGCAAGTGCTAGGCAAGTGCTCTACCACCTCAGCCCTCATAGTGAAATTTGGAAATGAAATAGAGAATCTTGAAAGCAGTAAGGGAGGAGAATTCATTCATTATGTACAAGGGATCCTCAATAAGATTAATGGATGAGGGGCTGGGGCTGTGGCTCAGCGGTAGAGCATTCGCCTAGCATGTGCGAGGCCCTGGGTTCCATCCTCAGCACCACATAAAAATAAATAAAGGTATGGCATCCAACTACAACTAAAAAATAAATATTAAAAAAAAAAAGATTAATGGATGATTTCTCATTATAAACCCATGAGGCCAGAAGGTAGCAGAATGATACATTTGAAGTATGAAAGAAAATGACTATTAATCAAAAAGTCTAAAATATAGTACAACTGTCCATCAGAAATGAAAAGGAAATTAACACATTGCCAGATAAAAACAGAGAAGATTTTATTGGTACACTTAACTTACAGGAATACTGAAGGGACTTCTAGCTGAATGAACTAAAAGGACCCTAGAAAGTAAATTGAATCTACACATAAAGCAATAATATAAAGTTCCTGGGCTCAAAATGTTTGAAGATGTTACTTGTATGACAATAAAAGCAGAAAAAAGGGGGTAGTAAAAATGTATAATGGAATACAGTTTTTGTAGACAAGTGAAATATGAACCACACTGTTTCAGAGATAAAATGTTAATTGTAATTCTGAGCAATTACTAAGAAAATAACTTAAAAAATATAGAGATAACCTAGAGAATATTCTAAAATAAAGCAGTACGAATGCAGTAGAGGAATGAGAAAATTCAAGACAAAAGAAAACAAACAGAAAAAAGATATACATAAATACTGCCTTATCAATAGATACAATAAATGTAAGTGAATTAAATGCCCTTAACAAAAGATAGATTAATTACAGAATAATTAATAACAGTATGATCCAATTATATACTTTTTATAAAAAGACACTTTGTAAATTCAAAGATTATACTGTATGAAACCCATTGAAAAATACACCATGTAAACAGAAAACAATGAGAACTGGAGTGGCTAAAATATAGATTTTAATATACAAATTTTACTAGAGACAAAAAAGGACATGAAAAAAGGGTCAGTCCATCAAGAAGATATAACAATTTTAAGCACACATACACTTATCAATAGAGTCCCAAAATATATGAAGAACTGAAGGGAGAAATAGATAATTCAATAATAATTGGAGACTTTATTGCTCACTTTCAAAAAGGATTAAACAATTTTCTCCAGGAAAGGCCAAATACCAGAACTTAAAACAAGCTATAATAAATGTTAAAAGTATTGAAATTATACAAAGGATGATGATCTCTTTGTTATTTGGAAAATATATTTTTCATAATATACAGGCTATATTAACACAATATGTTATTATTATTATTTTTTTTGGGGGGGGGAGCAGGCACTGGGGATTGAACACTTGACCACTGAGCCATATCCCCAGCCTGTATTTTATTTAGAGACAGAGTCTCACTGAGTTGCTTAGCGCCTTGCTTTTGTGAAGGCTGGCTTTGAACTTGTGATCCTTCTGTCTTAGCCTCCTGAACTGCTGGGATTACAGGCATATGCATACCTGGTTTATTATTATTTTTTGTACTGGGTAGAACTCAGGGGCATTTTCCACTGAGTTATAGCACTAGTGTCCTCCCTGTTTTATAAATTTTGAGATGGAGTTATCTTGATAAGTTGCCCAGGCTGGCCTTGAACTTGAGATCCTCCTGCCTATGAGTGTGAAGAGAGAACCTACAGAATGGGAGAAAATCTTTGCTAGTTACTTTTCTGAAAGAGGATTAACATCAGAATATATAAAGAACTCAAAAAAACTTTACAGAAAAACCCAAATAACTCAATTAATAAATGGGCAAATGGATTAAAAGGAACTTCTCAAAGAAATACCAATGGGCAACAAACATGAAAAAATGTTCAGCATTACTAGCAATTAGGGAAATGCAAATTAAAACTACCCTGAGATTTTATCTCACACTAGTCAGAATGGCAGTCATCAAGAATACAAATAATAAATGCTGGAGAGGATGTGGAAAAAAAGAACACTTGTACTCTGTTGGTGGGACTATAAATTAGTTCAATCACTATGCAAATCAGTATGGAGGTTCCTCAAAAGACTAGGCTACACCCAACTAACTATACTACTACTTGGTACTTATCCTGAAGAATTAAACTCATCATACTATAGAAGTACATGCATATCCATGTTCATAGAAGCACAATTCACAATAGCCAAACTATGGAACCAGCCTAGGTATCCATCAATGGATGAATGGATAAATACAAGGTGGTACCTATACACAATGGAGTTTTATTCAGCCATTAAGAAAAATGAAATTATGTCATTTGTGGGAAAATGGATGGAACTAGATTATCACATTAAGCAAAATATCAAACTCAGAAGGTCAAGGGTTATAATGTTTTCTCTTACATGCAGAAGCTAGAGAGGAAAAAAGGAAAGAAATGTGGAGCTAATCTCATGAAAATCAAAGGGAGATCAGCAGAAGAAAGGGCTGAAGTGGTGGGAGATGGAGAGGGAGGGGGAAAGTACTGGGGAGTGATATTGGCCAAATTATATTGGTACATATTTGTACGTATACACAATATAACAATAAATCCCATCAAAATATAATGCACCAATAAAAAATGTGGAGGAACAACAACAACAAAAAAAAAGAGCGAGGGATATAGCTCAGTGGCAAACCATCTTTGAGTTTAGTCTATAGTACCAAAAAAGAAAGAAAGAAAGAGAAAGAAAGACTAATTTTCCAAGAAAGAAAGAAAGGAAGGAAGTAAGAAAAAAAGAAATATTAATTTTCCAGTTATTCCTTGATGTGAAACCTAAAAAGTTAATATGCAAGGAGCTCAACCTATGAGAATATCAGCATGCCTGGCACTATGATCTTGGACTTCCTTCTCCAGATCTGTGAGAAAATAATTTTCTGATGTTTAAATTACCCAGTTTATAATATTTTGTTATGGAAGCATTAGCTAATACAACAACCCAACGCCTGTGAGTTCTTACTACATATTTCATATTCTGAGAATATTTTAAATATTTTCTTTACAAATTTTGAAAATAATAATGTAGTCACCACACACACATTCTGGGTTCAAATTTCTTCTTTTCTACATAGTTTCTGTGTGATGTTGGGCAAGATATTTTTATTTCTCTGAGTTTCACTTTCCTCACTTTTAATTAGGGATGGTCAGAGTATCTATATAATAGGATTATAGTAAGGATGGAACAACTATGTGTAAGGTACATTAGACCCCTTTTATCCTCAAGGGATACATTTCAAGACCCCCAGTGGATGCCTAAAACCATAGATAGCACTTTACCCTACATATGTATAAGTATAATAAAGTTTAATTTAAATAGAACAATTATAACAATACGCTCTAATAAAAGTTATGTGAATGTGGCTTTCTCTCTCTCTCTTACTCTCAAAATATAATTTGTTTTTGAGAGTCCATGGTTCTTTGCTTTGAATACTATGCGTGGCATGTTTTCTCATGTAGCCTGCAGTGTTGCCATGCAGTACCAAAGTACCCTTCCATGTTTTATGCCCTGGATCATTCTTTGCACTTTTAGGAATATAGGTTCTAGCTGGCATCTTCTAGAAGATCCCAGTTTCATTATAATGTAAAGAATTGCTTTGGATGGTTTCCTTTCTCTCTATTTAAGTCTTTCACTTGTGCTGGATATATCACAGCAGTTTCTTTTTTTGGCAGACAAAGGCCTCTACATTAATCATTATGTTTTTCAGTCTAAATCTATTTCAATGTAGCAATTAAATATTATAGCATAAAATCTATTAAAATTACAAAAATACTAACATCTGTTAATACTAATGGACATTAATATCTATAAAATTAAAATATTTTATTTTATGATTTATATTAATTGATTAAATATAACAATATAAAATCTATTTCAGTATAACAATCCGTTCCTTGCAGTAAATGCTTTGGTGTCAGTAGTGGATATAGTGATGCATCATCCAGATCTTTCCAGAACTCTGACATTTGTTCTGTGGGCTTTCTGAAGTATTAGCTGCTATTTTCTCACAGCTGGGTCCTACCTGGAACTTGTTCTCAGCAAAAGAGGAGTGATGTCATAGATATTATAATCTACTCCTGGTGTTGTCTGAGTGCAATGAAGAAGTACAAAGGAGTACAAAGGTCAGACCCCTTTGCCCCAACTAGAGCCATCATCTTAGCTTCAGAGATCCCAAAACATTTTAGACGAACCTTTCTCCCCTGCCAATCCTCACTACTTCAGAGGTATTGCTCCCAAGTAGAGTTCAGATTAAATCTCTGGGTCAGGATCTGTTTCCACATGTTTTAAATATAGAAGTTTCCCAATTATATATATAATATTGGGAATACAGTGCTTTAATGGGATAGAAAGAATATGAAACTATAATCACAACACCTAATTTTATGTTGCAGTTCTACTATTAAACAACTTTATGACGAGGCTTGTTTTCTTGTGTTTAAATGGGGAACAATTTTTTTTTTTTATGAAATAAGGGTGATTGAGAGACCCAAGCAGGTCCATGAATAAACACACATATATGTATGAACATGCCTTCTCTCTCTCTCCCTCTATCTGTGGTGCTGGGGATTGAACCCAGGGCCTTGTGATTTCGAGGCAAGCACTCAACCAAATGAGATATATTCATAGCCCTGCACATGCCTTCTCATATAATGTAATATCCTCATTACATTTTACATGAAAAAAGCTACTTAGAAGAGTAAACTTGATTACTTTCTTTCTATCCTTTTTTTAAAACAATTATTTTACTGAACTGTTCCATTAGACAGAAGGCCAATATTAAGGCCATGCAGAAAAAGTCATCTATTGCCTAGTATGTATTTGACCCTTGCTCTATTTCAGGTATACAAGGATCAATGGCAAGGTTCTTGACCTTAAGAGCTTACAGTCTAGTATAGAGAGGCATCTAATCTAAAAAACGTTATGAGTGATCAAATATTATAAATGCCAAAATGTCCAGGAATGATGGTAGGATACCAGAAAATGCTTCATAAACGAGGCGATCCTTACTCTGAAAAATACCTTTAGGAAAGATAATAAATTCCAGAAAAGTTTTTGAGTAACTTGTAATGACAATTTTAATTATAACATATAACCACTATTTTGTGTGTATCTATTTACAAGGCAGAGACTTTTCATAGAAATATTTATGAACAAGAATTAAGTTTACTTACTGTTATCTTACGAGGACAGTCATTAGAACACAGACCACTAAGAACTGTGGAAAAATAAAGAAAAGGCTATTATTCCTGTTATAATGTAAGCTTATATTGAAAATGAGCTTTAATTTCCTCCCATAACCAATTAATACACCAATTTATTGATGACCACAAGCAGAAACCCTTTTAATTTCTTTGGATCTGAACCAATTAAATTTATGCTATTTACTTTATAATATTTCAAAAACCTTTACTATGCTGTCAAAATGGTGCTGTTTTGTATACTATATAGGTGAGATAATTAATTATGGCTATATTATACTGTACCTACTGTCATTTCTATTTTCCACTTGGTTAGTTAAATTCCAAGGATGACTTAGAATCTGTCAGAGAGGTGCTAAATGCAAACCAATTAAAATGTATACTGAAAAAACAAATAGAGCACTTAACACTTTATATCTCAAACAAAACTTTTTTTTTCATTTATCTTGTCAAAAATTTTGGGTACAAATATACAGAAATAATTTAGTGATAAATTTATTCTATGATCACCAAAAAAAGAAAAAAGATTACAATATCTGTACAACGTTTATATAAGTAACGTGAGTTTTGAAATAGAACTATAGTTTGATCACTTTTGGTGAAGTGATACCTTTTTAAGAAAGCAGGTATTGTGTGCTATTAAACACTTTATGTGTTATAAGTAAGCATAAATTATTTTAATTAAATTATGAATATCTGTGGATTAAAAATATTTGTAAGACTATGGCTTCTTATGTTTATTCATATTACATAAATGTAAAATAATAATCACTATATTAGAAATGTTGGTGTCTCTTTAAAATTCATGTTAGAACCTAACAATCAATGACAAGATTAAGAGATGAGGGCTTGTGGAAAGAAATTAAATCATGAAGGCTCCACTTTCATGAATGGGATTAGTACCCTGATAAAAGAAAGTTGAGCCAACTCCCTTGCTCCCTTCTATCATGTGAGGACACAACAAGGTACCATCTGAAGAAGAGTGAGCCTTACCTTGATTTTGGACTTCCCAGCATTAAGAATTATAAGCAAAAATTGATATTGTGTATAAATTACCTTATCTAAGGTATTTTGTTACAGCAGCCCAAACAAACCAGAATATAGAATAGGTAAAGTACACAGGCACCAAGTAATGAGCATCACAAAAGATATCTGTAGTATATTTACATTAACTTCAACTTGAGGAAAGAGTGAAAAAATATTTTACACTTGCAAAATGGGTTTTTAATATTAGATTTTCTACTTCGGCACAGTGCATGGTTCTTGCTATTTTACTCTGAAAGTTTCCTTGTCGTAACTTCTCAGTTTGTTTTTCTCCTCTCTAAACTTTTCCAATGGCCCCCAGATATTTTTCACAAACCTTTATTTAAACCATTATCTTGCTCAATAGTAATCCTTTACTCATACATCTGTCTTTGTACCTGGATGTTAGCTCTGCATCATATTATGCTTATTTTCCCCAGTATCTAATACCATATATTTCTTCAATAAATATTTTTTAAAGGATGAGAAAAGATGGATTATTTATTAAATGAACCGGATAATTGCTAGTTGAAGAAAAATAAAGCTTAGGTTTTAACTCACAACAAAAATTATAATCTGGCAGATACCTAATAATAAAAGAACTCTTATAACTTATTAATAAAAAGACAACTGATCTGATAGGCAAAGAATCTGAATAGACACTTTTCCAGAGATGACATAATCAATAAGCTCAGGAAAAAATGCTCATTAGGGAACAGTATATGAACACTGCTATGTTTATTGTAGAATTATAACAACCAAGAGGTAAAAGCAACCCAAATATCCATGGATGAATGAATAAGATGTGCTAAATACATATTAATCAGTCTTAAAAATGAAGGAAATAGAATCACGTGTTACAACATTGATGGTCCTTGAAGACAGTAAGTGAAAATTAAGTCATAAAGACAAAGACAGCTGGCCCTTTGTATCTGCAGGTTCAATACCTGAGGATTCAAGCAACCGAGGACTGCAAATGTTCAAAAAAAAAGTCCATCTATACTGAACATGCAGATACTTTACCTGTGATTATTACCTAATCAATAATAATAACTATTTACATAGTACTTAAGTTGTATTAGATATTATGAATAATCTAGAGATCATTAAAAGTACAGGGGAGGATATGCATAGTTTATATGCAAATACTATGCTATTTTAATAAGGACTTGAGCCCTTGGATTTTGTTATCTGCAGAGGAAGCTGGTATTCCTGGAACCAAGTACCTGCAGACACCAAAGGATGATTGTACTGTATGATTTCACTTAATGAGATATCTGAAGAGTCAGGTTCACAGAGACAGACACTATTCTACATAGTGGTTACCAGGGGCTTGGGTTAAGTTAAAAAGGGGAGTTGTTGTTCAATGGGTTCAGTTTTACAAGATGAAAAAGTTCTGGAGATGTGTTTTACAACAATGTGAATATCCCTACTATGAACTATACCTTAAAAAGTGTTTAAGATGACACACTTTATGTAACATGTTTTTTTTTTTTTTTTTTAGCCACAATTAAAATTTTGAGTTAAAAAGAACCCACCCTAACACAGACATACATACACACACACACACAAAAAAAAAAAAAAAAAAAAAAAAAAAAACAAACCAAAAAAAAAAAAAACCCCCCCAACCCACAATGATTTAACATTTCATAGTCAAGTACAAGTATAATTAAGTCAGATGAAAATAAATGTTATTGAAGATGTGAATATATTGGAACCCCTCATACATTGATGTTGGGGGGATGTGGAATGGTGTGTGCTTTGGAAAAAAGTTTAGCCAGTCCTTAAAAGGTTAATTAAGAGCTCTTATTTGACCAAGTGATTCACTGCAGCTATATCCCAAGAGGAAAGAAATATTCATACAATGACTTGTACACAAATATTCACAACTGCATTATTCATTTTGGCAAAAAGGTGAAAACAATATACATATCCATCAACAGATGAATGGATAAAGATAATGTGGTATACACATGTAATGGGATATAATTTAGCAATTGAAAGGAATAAAGTACAATACATATATTACAATATGAATGAGCCTTGGAGACATTATGCTAAGTGAAAGAAGCCAGTAACACAAGACTACATATTATATGATTCTCTAATTATATAAAATGTCCAGAATAGTCAGCAGAGAGGTTACCTAAGGGTTGTGGGGGCTAGGGGTTTCTTTTGAAGTAATGAAAATATTTAAAAATGATTGCAGTGAGGGATGCACAACTCTGAATATGGTATAGCCACTGAATTGTATACTTCAGGTGGTTAATGGTATGATATGTGAATTAGATCTTATTAAACCTGTTACAAAATAAAAAAGATGCCATAAAAATTTAAGACTAGTGACAAAGGGGATGAACATTTTTGTAATATATATTAAAAAGATTTATAGATATTAGTTATAAAATAACCTAAGAGAAAATAAAGAATTTCAGAAGTAATATCCAGAACAGAAAATGAAAATAATAAAAAAAAATCGAGACACTCTACCCCACTCGTTAGTGTTCAATGAGGTCAGAACAATATAATAAGATATATAAAGAAATACAGAGTGGGGGAAGGAGAGAAAGAGACCCAACTCACACAACTTATTACAGTATATTGTTATAACTATTTAATTATTATTACTAATCTCTTAGGCTTAACTTATAAATTAAACTTTATCATACGTATGTATAAGAAAGAACAGTATACATAGAGCTCAATAGTATTTGAGGTTATCTGCGGGTCATGAAATATATTCTCTCCAGATAAGAAGATTCTACTGCATATGAAAAGATTCTGGCCTTCACTCATTATAAGAGGCAAAATAAAAATTACATAATATTTAATTCACTTATTAAACTTTTGAAGTTGTCATTTATAAAGTCCCTGGACAGGTAAAGGTGCTAGATATATGTATTTTCCTACATAAGTTTGATAAAATTTATGCAAAAGGATAGCTATTAAAATAAAAGACTACAATATAAACTTTCAAATCTGGCATAAGTAATCTATTGTGTTAGAAATCAAAGTAGTGGTTCTCCTTATGTGAACTGGGGGGATAAAGAGAGTTAGGAATGTTGGTAATATCTGTTTCTTCATCTGGGAATAATTACATCAGTGCTTTTACTCTGGATAATTTATAGAACTGAATATTTATGTATGCTTTTCTGTATATTTCAATAAAGTTTATTTTAAAAATGTGTGTATATATACATATATAAGCACATATACATATATATATATATATATATATTCTTTTAACAATTCTAGTTTTGGGGGATTTATCCACAGGATATTTGTTGGAGCATTATTTATAATAAGAGAGTGAAGATAACATTGGTATCTGTTAGTAAGGAACTCATTAAATTATGGTGTACTCTTACTATGTGATACTATTCAGCAGCTAAAATAATGAGGCAGCTCTAGATTATACTGCTGTTATATACTTTCCATGATATATTGTTAAGCATAGAAAGTAAACTCTGGAGCTATTATTTATGTAATACAAAAGTATGATGTGTGTGTGTGTGTGTATTATATATATTTGTATATGCATAAAATATTCCGGGCAGACACAAATAAGTTTTTTTCTGGGAAGAAACAGAGTGAAAGGAACACTAACTTTTCACCACATAGTATTTTCTTCTTTCTCCTCTTCTTCTTCTTCTTTTTTTTTTTTTTAAACCATTTGTATGTATTACTTATTTCTTACAAAATAAGTAATTTATTTTAGAACTCTCAGAGGAGTATGTGGTAAACTGGACAATATCATATGCTGGTGGTAATAAATACAAATGCATTTTTGGTATTTTGGTAATTATTAATATTAAAATTGCAGTCCCTCCTACTCTTTTTCATGTCTATGAGATATTGAAAACCACCTAAATATCCACTGAGAAAAAGCTAAATAAAGTAATAAATATCCATAATATGAAATGATATGGAGCTATTAGGATGAGGGAGGCTAAGTTCTGACCTTAAGGCAAATGTTTAGTAAGATTATGTTTAA